CTCGCGGACCCGCAGGGTGTAGGAGGCCTGGGTGAAGGCGGGGGCGTTGTCGTTGACGTCGGACACTAGTACCGTTATGTTGTGCTGGGTTTTCAGTCTGGGAGTCCCCATGTCAGTGACGGTGATTGTAATGTTGTACTGTGCTTTGCTCTCTCTGTCCAGCGGTCCTTCTGTTACCAAAGTGTAGAAATTTTCTACAGTAAGTTTCAGAAGGAAGGGGAGATGTTCTTGGATGGAGCACATCATTTTGCCATTGTCCCCGGCATCTGGATCTGAAATTCCGAAAATAGCTACCACAGTGTCAGGGGTGTTTTCTGGGATATCACTGATGAGTAATGACACGGTCAATTCAGGGACGTTGTCGTTTACATCCGTCACTTCTATAGCTACGGTGCATTTTCCTGAAAGACCGCCACCATCTGAGGCTTCAATTTCCATATGGTAAGATCGAATTTCCTCAAAATCCAACTGTTTTTTTAATCGAATATCCCCCGTAACTGTATTTAGTTCAAAGGCCTGAATGACTTGATTTGAGGATTGGAAAAATGAGTAGGAGAGCTCTCCGTAGGTCCCAGCATCCAAATCTCTAGCAGAGACAGTGATGACCAGGGAGCCTATAAGGCTGTTCTCTGGGACCTGCACCTCATAGAGCTGCCGAGCAAATTCAGGAGCATTGTCATTTATGTCCAGGACCAGGATGAGAACCTGGGAAGTCCCAGTCTTGGGCGGTGACCCACCATCCAGCGCCGTGAGGGTTAACCTGAGCTCTGGCTGCTCCTCACGGTCCAGTTCTTTGTCCAGCACCAGCTCTGGGTATTTCCTGCTATCGCTATGATTTCGAGTGAAAAGGTGGAAATGGAAGTTGGTGCTAATTGTGTAGTTCTGAACTGTGTTACTTCCCACATCTAAATCTTGAGCTATTTTCAAAGGAAATGCAGTCCCTGGCTGGCTGCTTTCTGAGATTTTCAGGACGATTTCATTTTCCAAGAATTCTGGGGCATGGTCATTTATGTCTTGGAGCTGTAATTCACCTTGAATAAACTGCACTGGGTTTTTCAGTAACACCTGGAAATGCACTATACAGGGATCTGTGTCACCGCACAACTCTTCCCGGTCCAATTTATCTTTTAGGAACACGTTCCCACTCTTCTGCTCGAGCTCCAAATACTGTTTATTCCCTTTGGAAAGAATCCGGGCGCCCCGCGCGGCCAGTTCCCCTAAGCCCAACCCGACATCTTTTGCTAGATTGGCCACAAATGAGCCGCTGTCCCTCTCTTCTAGAACGGAATATTTAATGATCACACCACCCACATCCCACAATAGTAATAGAATAATAATGGTGGTCACTTGCCTTTTCTGTGTCGCTTTGGGTACTGGCATCCCCATCATTCGTCCAAGTCCAAAAGATGCAGTGTTTAATCACAAAATAATTGCTTTGCAGCCAACTCCGCTATCTTGCTTTAATAATCTTGACTTAGTTCTTCTTAACCTTGACTGACAGGCGGATAGCTGCCTCTCTGAAACCTTCTACCCCTCGCAGTGTTATTTCCTTATGAGCTGCTAGAAACTGATCGGCTTTTGTGCAGTCTAGGAATCTGCAGACTTTTTCACTCTCTTAGCCTGCAGCGCCACCAAGCGTTCTGCGTTACAATTTCGTGTAGTTTTCATTTCAAAGCATAATGTAATAGCTAAACTGTTTTGAACACCTTTTGGGTAATGCAGTGTAATAAACTTCTTTCCCCCTCACCTATGATGCAGTCTTGTTAAGGTAGCTTACAATAGTTGTGAGATCAAAGTAATACCTATTTATCTATATTCACCTTCCGTATAAATGTACAAGTTCAGTAGATAAAACTGGACTCAGGACAAATTTATTTATTTGATTAATAAGTATGTCTCTGTGCAGGAATTTTTCTAGCTTCTCAGAATAAAACAGTAAATTAATCACAAATTCTTGTTCTCAGGAGCTTACATTCTATTACAAAAATACTGATTTGTTCTGTTGTATTAGAAAATGTTATAAATTTTTAAAATCCAGTTTCTACTCCCAAATTGCAGTGTGCCTGTAACTTCTGAGAAAATGTGATTTCTTTTCAGTCTCTGGGATACATAACCTTTGGGAAGTTTTTTTCCTTCATAAATTCATTGTGTGCATAGTCCAGTAAAGTTGAGAGGAAATGGCCATTTGTTTTATTAAATATCAGTAAGTTCTGAATTCAGGTAATGTCTTGCTGCTAACACGAAGAAGGCAATAAAGTCAATGAAGTCAAAGATACACTTTCTAGGGAAGGATTTTGACCTGTCAGCATCGGACAGAGCCTATCCCAGTATACACCCTGTAGGACTATGCATATAGAGTTATTGAAAAAATCCACTGCACCAACTAAAGCCATGTGTTTGCAGTAAGAATAGCAGGAAGAAGCAGTTCCCCCAAAGAATAGAGGAGGAGAGAGTAAATATCTGGGAATACAAAACAGAAAGTGTTCCCTACACTCATTGAACTAATTGGTAATCATCCATGAAAAAAGAACCATGACAGTTCACTTGTTTGGACATGAAACACGGCTAAATATAATTTAGTTAAGCCCAGTTCCATTTACATTCAGGATAAAAAAATTCACTCAATTGTCACTCCAGTATACATTGCCTGACTTTAATGGGAACTTGAAAAGAGAAATTTTTGTAAAATACTACAAATATAACCAACACAAATAAGACCAAATATGGGTTAAATTGTGAAAGTAAATTATTTTGTGGTTAATAAAGATAAATGGTGCATACGCAGCACTGGAAGGGAAAACATGACATTATCCAGTAACCTGCTACTAGTAACTTACTTAAGTCTTGGTAGGTATCACACATATAGAAGCTTGAGAAACTATACTGGAAAATGTAACTTGGATTTTAGTAAAAATATCTTTCAACTTTCAAATTATTAGACAAAGACAAGGAGATAAAAATGTACCCTCAAGCACTTTATATTCTGTAATAGCTTAGAGTGAATGAGAGTTTTATGTTTAGAAGGAAGTAAAGAGTAATATTTAATACTTTCACTTATTGGCAAGGATAGTATATTGTAGAGAGAATATTAGCATTACTTATTCCTTAAAAGTTATTTTTAAATTCACTATTGGAATATTAATAACATTTAGCAAATATTTATTGAGCATTTATAATTGACTTGCTGTTGTTTCTAAAAGGCCATCATAATGAATGGACCTAGAGATGATCATACAAGTGAAGTAAGTTAAAGACAAATATATAATATCACTTGTATCTAAAGAAATGACACAAGTGAACTTATTTACAAGACAAAAACAGACTCACATACATAAAAAACAAACTTAAGGGAAAGGGGGGAGAGAGGGATAAATTAGGAATTTGGGATAAAAAGAAAACAACAGATCATCAAGGTCAAGCAGGTCAAGCTCACAAACTGTAATTTACTGTGTTAACACTTTCCTAAAGTCTATTCATAGAAAATATGGATTGACTATTATGGTATGCTGAAATACATATAAATATGAATGGCTATTTTAGCATTTAGCCATCTTTAGTGTTTATTTTTTAACACTGTACAAGTTATCTCAAAATGAAACTAATGATGGAAGATTAAATAATATCAAATACATTTTAAAGATTTTCCCTATATAGCAATAATTATAACTCACTCTTTAGAAATACAATGTTAAGGAATTTGGAATATAATTTTTGTAAAATTATTAATAGATTATTGAATTTCAGACTTTAAATTATGCAACTAAAATTTACTTTTTATTCAGATTTTCAAATATATTTGAGTAAGAATAATTTTTAACGCTACTAAGGATAATATAGTGAAAATACTGTGTATGTCCAATATCTGATTTTTTAAAAATTTCACCCTATGGAAGACAAGTAAGATATCAAGAAACGGACTGTCAATAATATGCATTAATAACATGTAGCTTTAAATTAAAAGAGATTTCCAAACTTATTAAGTAGTGCTTAATAGAATAATCTTATACTTAACTGAATAGGAAACTATTCCGAACGGTGGAGTTTTCTTCCATTTCTTTCCCAGTTGCCTGGGGACAGAAGTTGGGGAGAATCGGCTTCAGAAACTTGAACTCGCTCGTCCCAGTACCTCCCCTGAGACA